ATTTATTGCAATAATTTCTGAGACAATCGCCCAGCAAAATTTGTTTTTGTGACAGGCCTAAGCAGGGCACCCCCCCTTGAACAATGCAACACTGCAGAGCCATATAGTGTAAGAAACAGGACAGACTGTTGTACTAGGTTTACCTAATTACCTTTACTGCTGATGGAAACATGGAATATATAAAAGTATTTTTTGAAGTAAGAAGTAAATTATTGGTCAAATATAAAATGATGTATTTCTCATCTCCTTTCCTCTTGCTGATGTTTCTTCAGTCAGCTTGTGTTCTTCATACAGGCTTTATCGATCAGTTGTGCAGAGGAACAACAAAACTTTTTTTGTTCTTTTCTAGTAAACTTCGTGAAAACAAGAAGACGGCAGAACTGATAAAAACAGCCAACCTTCTGTTCAACTCCTTTGAACCATACTACATGTGGGACTACATTGCTCGCTGGTTTGAGGAGTGCTGCAGGTCTGTACTCTATAAATTCATCCATTCGGTACGCTGGGCTGACATTTGGAGATTATTTTAGAATTGTTATAAAATCCTGCTTGAGGTTTGAGTCAAATGGATTCTGCTCTTGTTGTAAACGCTGCTCAACTGCTATGCTTCTTATACTTCAGTCAATAAATGTAAACTCATAATTGATTGTTTTTTGTTTCAGGAGGAGGGTGAACTGCAGCACATTTTCAGCTCTCAGGATTTTAGAGTCCCCTGAGCTCTCTTTGGTGGAGTTTTGTGGATTAGTTGATTTTCTTCTGGACATTGTTTCCCTGGTGAGGCTTTCTGTCTTACTCTATCTTTACTTTGTTCCCCTTTCCATCTTCCCTTTGATATATGTATTTCTTTTAATTAAATTATGCCAAAAGTTAAGTAATAAGCTAGTTAACTCTCATGAGCTGAGCTGTAAAGCTGTCGAGCTCAACAGCAGAGATAATGGCCAAAACATGAGAGATTCAACCAAGCAGCAGTCAGGTTGGACCTTCATTATTCCTCACAGGAAATGTGATTTGCAGTAATTATTTAACTGTGCACAAGAACATGAGACATAAGGACACAAGACACGACACAGCTCCAAAGGAAAACTACTTTAAATATGAGTGCAGAATATTTCAAAAACACTTGAAACCAAAGTGGACTTTGCTACCCCCCTCCGTTCAAAAACTGCTGCAACCAACTTAGTGCCACACTTCTCTCACCCAACCCCATTATACCCCAATATTGTTTTAATATTGCTTAAAAGTATAGTTTCCTCAAACGAGTGGGGTGGCCAAAGATTAATCTGTGATCAAGGCCACCATGTGCCTCCCCCTGGCTCCGCCAGTGCACCTGGAGGATAAAATTGCTCCCTCCACTCACCAGGATCCTTCACTCTGTGCTGTTTCGGACCAAACAAACGATTTATATTCAGATCTACGACCACTCACTACTCAAACCCCTCAGCGATGAGGGAAACCGGCACACCGCTTGTTTAATTTGTCATAATGAGGTGATATTAAACATGAAGTTTGATAACTACTGCCTTAAGTTTAGTTTCCTTCCTCCCATCCAAAGTTCATTTAGTCTGTCTTCCTCCTTCAGTTCATCGCCTCCTCCTCTACAAATGTGTTTTTGTGACAATTCTCATATGCACTTTTTCCTTTCTTCATAAATCTTTATGGTTTTCCCCTCTTTGACATATTTTTGCACTCTTCCCGTGTACAGTTTTTTTATTTTAATGCAGACTTTTGTTTGGGCTTTGAGTTTTGTTAGGCTCAAACCTCTCCTGGGTATCCAGGATGTTCACTGTTACTGCCTCTCCCACAAACATTTACAATGTGGCATCTGTGATGTCAGATGTGTGGTTCAAGTCAATTTCTGGGTCCGGTCTGAGGATGTTCCAGCTGCCTGTGTGTCGGGTGTAATCTTTATTTAGTGTTTTACATGTTACAATTCTGCAATCCTCACACAGACTAACAGCCTGTGTGGGGATTGAATCTCCCTGCAAATAATATAGTTTGCATCTTAGAGCTGCACAATATTAACAAGACGTGCAGCTGAAAGGTTATTGTTGAGATAAACCCTTCTGCTCTGTCTGTTGGGTTTTGGACCAACAGTTTGTGTTTGCAGTTTTAACTGGAGACTTTTCATTTTTGTATTATTGAGGCAGTTTTGATATATTGTGCAGCCCTGGTGCATCTTATTAGAAATATGCTTGTCTGTAGTTCTTTCCAATCTAAATAGTTTGGAAATGTTGCACCCTGTCCAGATGCTCTGTGTGTGTGAGTGTGTGTGCACAGAGTGCTCTGCTCGCTCCTGTCTGTTCAAACTCTCTGCTCTTTCTCCTTGAAGCCTACTAGAAGCATGAGGGTAATCTGCCAGGTAAAGTACTGCTCTTTCCTGCTTTTTCACCTCACCCTGCTTCACTCGGGCTACGATAACATTTCTGCAACATCCTGCCAACACCCTTCAGGCCGCCATTGTTTATCGCCTGCTTTGTGTTCACATCACAACGCCTGATTGTTTCCATATTTCAATCCAAAAGAACACGATGCTCATCTTTTTAAAACTTGCCCTGGCTCTTTGGTGTGGATCTTGTGAAAATGAGATCTGTGCTCAGTGAACATGCTTTTTCTTCAGCATGCATGCAGTTTAATTCTACTTGTATATAAAAAAAAATACATTTTTATTTCATCCGTTTAACACCTTTTTTTTTTAAATTAAAATTATGTTTTTACTTTTTCTTTGTTTTGCTTGTTGAAAATAAAATCACTTTATAATCTGAATGGGTCCAGATAAAAGGGTAGGTGTGTCCAAACTGTAACCTGTGGCTGCTGATCTGTACATTTTAAAAATAATAATAATCAAAAGAACTATTAAGTCTTTTTTTAAGTAAAAGCAGCCAATATTATATTTAAACATTAACTTAATTTGGCTATTTTAAGAAAACAAAGTCTAGCATAATTCCCAGTTAACAGACTTAACAAATAATAATAATAATAATAATATTGGTCAATTTCTAAATATAGTTGGTGGATACACTTAAAATTTCTCACTGGTTTCTCATAATTTGTGAACATTTTTAGGAGACGTACATAGAAATCCAGACGGAGCACCTCCCTCAGCTGCTGCTGCGGATGGTTGCAGCTCTGACGGCCCACCTGCAGGCTCTGGGCCTGGGGGAGCTCACCCAGTGTCTCCGGCTCTGTTCCAAGATCCTCAGCAAGGTGCAGCCGCCTCTCGTGTCCCCTCTGGTCCTGCCCACAAGTCCACAAGCTCAGGGTCTCTCCAACGCCAGCAGCTCTTCAAACTCAGCATGGGACAGGAGCAGAGACGGGGAGGACAGACGGGTGAGGAACGAAGCTTTACATTTATGAGCCACAAGCCGTTGTGTCGGGTAGTAAAGAGATTTATTGGCAGTTTATTAAATGATGAAATCAGAATGTCTGCTCTGTTGGGATGGCAACTGGAAATGAGCATGAAAAGTTCATGCTGTTCCATATTTGGCATAAAAATATCTAAGCTAATGAAGCACTTTGATAACAGGTTCTGTTTTAAATGTGCTCTATAAATAAAGTTGACTTGACTCTTAGTCCAGTTATCTTTTAAAAGCTTTAAGCTTAGTGGGGTACTGCTAAACTCCTGGTTTTCTCTCCTTCACCCACCCTCAACAAGTCCTGGTTCAAACCCTTTTTAGTTTAGGCCCTGGTGGTGTGCCCTGGTCCCTGAACAGGGTCTCCTGCCTCCTCCTGCCAGCCCCCCTGACCTGCAGCACAGTTGGCTGGGTGGCCACTCAAAGCCCCGCTGACACAAAGCATTTGAAGACTTGTTCAGAACAAATGTGCAGTTTCATTAGTTGTGAACCTTCTGGTCCCTGTATAACAACCTGGTTGTTAAAGTGTTTTCAGCTTCATCAAGCCCCGAGTGGAAGTTCAGAGTTCTCCTCCCAGAGATAGACGGGGCAGGATGGGTTGAGGTACACCCCTGAGGACGTGGAGTAAAGGACGAGTAGAAAGGTAGAAGATGGATACCCAACAGCTGAGCCATTCTTTTTTTCTCTGAGGAAGTAGATGAATAAACGAGCTTGAGGTGTCTCCAGGGTGTGCTGTGTCCATCAGAGTGGAAATGATCCAGGATATGTCCACTGTCCCCGCCCCCGCCCTGCTGGGCATACTGAAAATGTTCAAACTGCCATCTGAGTCCAGGCTGCAGAATGTGCACTGTACCTCGATCAAAACGTTTTCCAGGAAGCCCTCGGGCCCTTGGAGTATGATCGGGACAAAGAAATGCACGAACTTGAATCTGTCAGTTTGCAGCTGGATGCTGCTCTGGTGTCAAGTTCAGTCTGTAGAAGTCACACAAGTCAGAGCCAGCAGCAGCTGGGCCCACAACTTTTCACAGAAAACTGGTTTACAGAACACATGGAGCTCTAATGTTTATTCATGTTTGAAATATGAACATAAAATATTCACACACATTATACATTTATTAGTCAAAGCTATCTTATCTAAGGAAGCAAATGGATTGCGTCAAATCAGCCCTTTTGTCGCAGTCCCCCACCCTGAGCAGCACAATGGTGACAGTGGAAAGGAAAAACGCCCTGTTAACAGGAGGTAACCTCCAGCAGAACCAAAATCTGGACCAGGCTCAGGATGGGCAGTCATCTGCCTCAACTGGCTGAGGCTAGTGAGGACAGGAAGGAAACAGACAACCACAAAATGTCTGGTCGAGGTTGAGTTTCTATGGTCCAGGTCTCTTTGAGAAGAAAAACACGTTGATGGAAATGATTACACATAAAAACGTGGAGAGTGAAGGGAGTAAAGACAGCAGCAGAGTGAGGAGATGTGCTCAATTTGTGCTCCAGTAGTCTAAGCCTTTAGCTGCATAACTAAGGGATAGCTCAGGAAACCCAAGCCAGCCCTAACTATAGGGTTGGCTTGGGTTGTATTTAGCATTGTCTCTGAATGACCATTCAGTAGAATTATGTCATTGTTCAATACAAATAAATAACTGGATGAATCAAAGCTTCTTCCAACTGAATCATGACAAAACGGAGATAATTGACTTTAAAAACCAAAGATCAAGTTTAAAACCTTTGTGAGCTGCTAGATTATGATCTGACTTTCAGTAGTCCTATCAAGTAGAGCCCGACCCATGTGGAAATTTTGGCGATCGTCGATACCGATATTTGGAGGGGACGGCTATAACCAATATAATGGCAGAAAATTTCTGAACAGTATCCACCCCCAAGAATCTAAGTAAGCACTGCAGCTACTTTTAAACCTGTTTTAACACTTGAAGTCTTGAAAGTCTTCCTAATGAGCATTTTCTATCCTCCTCTATTCACCATAAAGTTATTAAGTATGTTATAAAAATATAAATTAAACTAAGAAACACCCTACCTGTTCATTGTTTAAACAGTCATGTATGATGAAGGTCTAATTAGTATTGACTGCAGCAATTTTTCTTTTTCTTTGCAAAGATGTAAAGATTTCACACAAACAATGCATTTTATTGAGGACAACAAAGATAAAGTTACTAACACTGATACATATTTACTGCTACGTTAGATTTATTATTCTGGATAAAGTTTTACAAGGCAATAGATTAACTAAAGGTTAGCTTGCTAACTTAAGAGGCACGTACAGTAGCTAATGACAAGGGGTTGGAGGATTGAAGAGAAATTTATTTTTAATTTTAGTTTACAGATCAGTTACAATAAACTTACCATGCTCTGTTCAGCAAAATACATTACACAGTATTGCTCCCTGCTTTAGCTGTGCTGAAAGTGAAAGTCAAAGGCCATGACTTGAAAGTAGTCTTCATGCGCCCTCTGCTGGATACATTGTACCATTACGGCTGGTTCACAGTGTTTTAGGAGTGAATTTTAGAAGTGTTTATACTGGCGCATAATGGGACAGTTTTCACAGATACGATATGCCCCCAAATTCCTATATCTGCCTAAAATACCGGCCCTACTGATGTATCAGTTGGGCTCTGCTATGAAGTCAATCTCCAACAAACAAGTCTTTTTTTCAACTTAAGAACATATTCGAACTAAAAAGTTTTTTTATTCCAAACATACCAGGAGAAGCTCATTCATGCTTTTATATCCAGTAGACTGAATTATTGTAAGGGTCTTCTAACTGGATCCCAAAAAAACATTAAACAGTTACATCTCTTTCAAAATGCTGCAGCTCGGGTTTTGCCGAAGCAATTGATCTGAGCGTATTACCCCTGATTTAAAGTCTTTGAACTGGCTCACAGTCAGTCATGTAATACATTTTAGGTGCACCTCAGACTTACAATGTGGAGTTTATTCATGTTCTCTGGTTGTACATGGGGGGCTTTCTCCAGGTATTCTGGTTTTCTCCCAAAGACCAAATGCATGCCTGTTAGATTAATTGGTAATGGTTTGATCCCCAGTCATTGTTCATCTTATGTTGTCTCTGAGCAGGACACCTAATCACTTCACCACTTGCTCTTGCCGAGGTCAGACGCTTTTTCCCCTCTCTCTCCGCTTTGCTGCTCTGTCTGTCAGCCTGTCTGTGAAACTGCTTCTGAGCCTCTCTTGCATATCTTCCGAACCATAATTATGAACTTGATTTGATCAGTTGGTCCCTCAACACAATTGATAATATTTCTTCGAAGAGAAGACAGGCTTTAGGTGAACCGATTTGCCCTGTTGGCATGCACGCAGCGGGATATCTCATCGACTTGGAAGACTTGATGATGTGTCTATCTCTGCTGCCATTTGTGGATTTTAAGTACGCTTTTATAATTGGATTTACGATAACTGGTTCCTGCTTTTTGGATTCGGCTGGTCGCTGGTTTATCTACAAACAAGGAAGTCTAAGTCTTGAGTCTGTCTAAGCAGATCTCACTTGTAAATGAGTATTTGAGGCTCAATGTGGTTTATCTGTCTAAATAAAGGTTGAATGAATGAATGAATCCCGAATTGCTCCCCGGGCGCTTAGGTGCGATGGGTTAAAGTAACTCAAAATTTTCCCCATGTTTAAGTGGGAGTGTGAATGGTTTGTCTCTATGCGTCTCTGTGATGGACTGGAGACCGATCCAAGTGTCCCCCACCTCCTTACACAGTGACTGCTGGAGATAAACACCAGCCTCCCTCTGTGACGTGGAAAAGAGCAGGTAAAAGAATATGTATGGATAGATGGATATTAAACTGAGGCTTATTTAATTTAAAATCTAATTATATCTATCTGTCTGTCTGTCTGTCTGTCTGTGTGTATGTGTGTATATATATATATATATATATATATATATATATATATATATATCTTTCTTCTTCTTGTTTTGGCTGCTCCCTGCATTAGGGGTCACAACAGCAAACTAAGTCGCATGAAGACTTGGCAGTTATTTTTACGCCGGATGTCCTTCCTGACGCAACCACCGAGCTACCACAGCCCTCTGTGTGGAGCAGAGAGCTGCTATCTAGGACAGATGGTGGGGTTAAGGGCCTTGCTCAAGGGCCCAGGGTGGGACAAATGAGGGTGGGGGCAGGTGTGGGTCCCTACCCCACTCACATTTTTTTTTTATGTTGTCGGTACTACCGAGTACAGCATAGGTTTAAAAAAAAATTGCCACTGTTGGTGACAACTAAGTTTATTTGCTGCAGGAACCACCTTGAATGGAATTACTAGGGGTGCACCGATAAATCGGCCGGCCGATCGATCGGCCCCGATTTCCTTAATTTGGGGAGATCGGCGATCGGCCGATCTTTAAATGAGAAGCCGATTTTATCCACCGATCGTAGCTGCCTCCGGAAAGTTCTGAAAATCAGCTGCTGTCCCCTTTTGCTCCACTGTGAGAGCTCACACACAGGTCACTCGGAGCAGCCATGTCGTCGGTTTGGAAGTTCTACGCTGTAAAAGAAAATGAGCCAAAGATCGCAATTTGCAATTCGTGTAAAGCCGAAGTAAGTCGTGGTGGAGCCACCACCAAAACCTTTAATACAACAAACCTCGTTCGCCATTTAAAAAATCACCACGCCGCCAAGTATGCAATGTTTGAAGAGAGCAACCAAGCTAAGGCTAATGCTAAAGCTAGCGCTAACAAAGAGGCAGTCGGTGGGTCGCTGTTAGCTTTTATGAGCAACGAAAAGAGCAAAGCTACCACGAGGAAAGTGATGGAGTTCATGGCATTAGACAACCAGCCATTTTCAGCCGTTGAGGACAAAGGTTTTAGAAGCTTGATGCAGCACGTGTGCCCACGATATAATATGCCGAGTCGGAAATATTTTTCTGATGTTGCATTACCGGAGTTGTTCAGCCAAGTTTCGAGAGACACCCGCAGCCTGCTAAAAGCTAATACAAATACACTCAGCTTTACAACAGACATCTGGACTTCTGATGTAAGTTTAATGTCCATGTTAAGTTTTACTGCACAGTGGATTGACGAACAGTTCGAACGTCATCAAGTACTCTTAAACTGTAAAGAAGAGAGAGGAGAGGCAAGCGAGCACAGACCGTGGCGTGGGTACAGCCAAAGCTACATTGCTGGAGGCTGTTGTGAGAAGATTCAGCAACGTTGAGCATGAGCCCCTGTACAGCTTGGCCACTTTTCTGGATCCAAGGCAAGTAACTATTAACATTCTATTTTAGCCATAATTACTTTTAGCCTACTACTATATTTCAACAAACATTTAAATTAAATTAAAAATAAAAATTTCTTGATTGAAATGCATTTCTTTATTTACATGCAAGTCATAAAAACTGTTAATGTATACAAAACACAATGATTAACCCCTCTTTCTTTGTTTATGCAAAACAAGGTACAAGAATCGCTACTTCTCAGCAGAGGTGAAAGATGACGTGAAACTGCTCCTTTTGACCAAACTTGCAGAGGGGGAGACCAGATGCACACCTGCTGCAGGAACATCCTCTGAAGTGGGACCTCCTGATATAGATGAACCTGCAGCCAAAAGGCGTAGTCTACTGTTTGCAGCTCACGACGAAATCTTGAAGGAGAACATTGAACAGGAGCAACAGCTGGCCAGCCCTTCAGCTATGCAGGTACAGAACTACCTATCTGAGGTTCCAGTCAAAAGGAGCCAGGACCCATTGGTCTACTGGAAGATCAATGAAAATCGTTTCCCTCATCTTGCTCTACTTGCCCGAACCTATCTCTCTGCCCCATGCACAAGCATTGAAAGCGAGCGCCTGTTTAGCTTGGCTGGACATGTAGTAGATGAGAAAAGAAGTCGCCTGTCTGGTGACAAAGCAGAAATGCTTTTGTTCATCAAGAAAAACCTGCCACTAATGAAAGTGACTGGAATAAGTCTGTGAGAACAAACTTACCTGTGCCAGTGTTATTTCTTATTACCCACTGACTTGAAAATGTTACACTTGTTGCATTATCTTTTTAAGTTTTTTTTAAAAAATGTAACAAGTGAAAGAGTTGAAGGAACTGAACATTTTTTTTTTTGGTTAATTTTATAGTTTTAACAAAAATTGTGTAAACTCCATTTATATTTCAGAATACTACCTCATGACAAATTAAAACAACAAGTTTGTATTGTTTCTAGGGTATTTTTCAAGGGTATGTTTTACAATAAAATAAGATTGGTAATTTGAAGGTGCATTGTGATCTTGTAACACCTGACACTGTTGCTTATAAAAATAAAAAAAAATCGGAATCGGCAGTTCAGACTTTCAAAAAATCGGTGATCGGTGATCGGCCTGAAAATTGAAATCGGTGCACCCCTAGGAATTACTGGTAGCTAGAAAAGTTAATCAGTTGTAGAAACACATTCAGTTGTTCCTTTCTGAGTGTTTCATTTAAATCAGTCAACAGGTTAATTGGATACTTTGCTGACAACAAACAAAAAGACACACAAAACAATGGCAATTAAAAGTGTTATTGTGTCGCCTTTGCCAGCAGGCAATATAAACTTTTATTTCACAAAGATCAGCAAAGTAAGCACTACGGAATTGTCCCATTTACCATCACAGAGCAAAGAGGTGAAATTGGATATACCCTCCATCCCTCTGTCCATGTTTATTGTGATCATTAAATCTTAAAAATGTAAAGTGCATTCACACAAACACATACAGTAAATGAGTTGGATATTTAGTCAAATAAGCAATGTACTGACTTCCATTTTATTGTGTGGCTACATGTAGGCATAAGAAAGGTTCCTATCTAAACTGGGTTGCCACATCAAAATGCAGTCCAGAAAAACACTCGTCTCAAAAACTATAAACATTCACTATTCAAATCTCTCAGTGACAGGGAACATCAATGAACCACTTGTTGCCGTTTGTGGAGGGTGAGATTTAAAACTTGTGAACACATTTAAAATGTCAGTGTTTATTTTGAAAGCATTGCCCAGTCTGAGCACTACGACAAATCTTTATGGCCATGCTAAAAAAAATTACATGCCACGCAAAAAAAAAAAATAAAAGCCATAAAATTTCAAGAATGAAGTTGTAGAATTAGGAGAATAAAGTTGTACGAGACTTTTTTTTACAGCTCTCGTTTATTTTTATTTTTTTCCATGAGTTGGATCCATGACGCGACCGGTCAATCAATCCAGTAGGCGTGTCAGCAAATGACCAATCCGAGTGATTTGCTGGGTCTCTTCAGCCTCTGTCTGTCATTTTTATTGAAGACGTCTAACAACGCTGCACGCACACAGTTTCGCTCACTGAGAGCCGTTTTCAAACGGAAACAAAAACAAAAGTCGTGACACAATGATGTCACGTATATGAATCCCAGAAGCAGCATACAAAAACACAACAATAGGTGGCAGTATTGGTACACGTTTTGAGTAAGAGTGCCAATAACAAAAAAAGTTTAACAAACATTCTTCATTTTACCACAGTTAAAATGCGGTAACTCTGCTTCATCGTGTTGAAATTCAGATAATATTACGACTCATTTAGCTTCGGATTGGCCATTTGCTGACACACCAACTGGATTGATTGACCGGTTGCGTTGTGGATCCGACTTGAGAAAAAAAAATTTTTAACAGCTTTAAAAAATAAAAAGAAGTCTACAACTTTATTCTCATAATATTAAGACTTTATTCGACTTTATTCTCGTAATTTTATGGCTTTAAAAAATTTTTTTCTTAGCGTGGCAATGTAATTAAAAAAAATTGGTGTGGCCCTAAAGCTCTGTTGTAGAGCACAGATGTTCCTGGAAACTATTCCAGTTGCTTGGTTAGGCTAGCAACATCTGTGCTTATTATGGACTGGAGGTTTCCCATTTAAACAGGGAGACTCCACCAGTGGTCATAGAGAATTGTAGATCTAAATGATAGATTGAATATATTGGCAGAAACATGCAAAATTAAACACGTTAAGAAAATAATGACATTGGGCTTTTATAAAATTGTTGTTAATTTCTGCTGTACCATAGCCCTAAAATAATTGTTTAATGTAGAATTAAAAAAAAAAATACCTTAACAGTATGTAGTGCATAAAAAAGTGAGAAATGCCCATTATATAACACGTTTTGAATTTCTTTGTATGTGTGAAGTGCATTAGTGAATGTTTTCAGCAGTGTTCACTTGTACTGGTTCTGTAGTCCCATGCTTTCTTGACTAGCTGAGCAGCAGGGTGGAGGTCAACACAGAAGTTGCTCATAAGAAGGACAAAGACTGGGGGGAGAGCAGAGAGGATGGAGAAGGGGCTGTATTCTCTGACCGCAGAGCATAATGTCTTATCTTGTCTCTTGTCCTCCCAGTCCTTATCTGCTGCAAGTGGTTGTGAAGATCACTCAAAGCAGAAATAGTGTTACACCATATTGTACTTAAAAAGTTATATAACGTTTGTTCAATCAAATTAAAAAAAGAAACTCATCAAAACGTTAAATAGTTTCTCATAAAGAACAAAGACATGTCCACAACACCTCCTGTACCAAAGTTGCAAAATCTTATTGGATGTGGGTTGTTTTAAAGAGAAATATTTTTATTTAACAAAATACTAGCTGTTCTGGTCAAACAGAAATTACTTTAATAAACATGCATTTCTTGAAGCATGATGTCGACCAACTTGCAATGTTTTAAACATAAACTCATTGTATCTATTAGTGCATAGATTAGGAGACGGGGATAACTCTGCTGCTACCACACAATCGTCTTGCTCAGTATCGAATTAACTAACAAAGTAACAAGTATTTTGACTTCAAATGTTAATCATTTATTGATCACATTCTGAAAATGTATTTGAAATCTGTCCAGTAGTCAGATCAGGTTACAACAATTTATGCCAATATTTGAAAGTTTTTATTGTGGTGTTAGCACTTCGAATGTGTATTTGAGCTACTCCGCCCATAATCGACCTATAATCGGACTTCAATTTCTTTAGCTTATCTCGGCACTGCTTATAAGTCCAGGTGTAGCCATTCTGCTCCATCATCTCCAATATCTCTCTGTAAATGTGCTCATTTCCTGTGGCGTTGTCCGTCAACACAATCAATGAGGAAGTGGCAGTTCAGAAATAGTTTGCAGTTTTGCTGGGCAGCTCATCTATTTACATACAGTAGCTCTGTTGGTCAATCAACAGCTGCGCATGGACTTTTTTGGCATTTGATATTGGGATTTCCACTTGTACTCCTCAAGTAAAATGAAATTAATTTATTATTTAGCTCTTTGAACAGAACCTATGAGAATCGTGTTGTTGTTGTCCAGTGTATTGTTTTGCACTATTAGTGACTAGCGTATATCTTGGATCTTTTAGCATACCGTTGGGCATTTGTTTAGTGTATTTCTTAGTTTATATCTTAGATACGTATTTACTGTTTCTTTTACAATTTATATTTTTGCTATTGTTGGATGTAACTGGGACCCTATGTACACAGTTTCATTCTATCTCATGTACCACATATGATGTGAATGAAAATGAAGATCCTTGAACCCTTGAATAAGTGCATTTGTCAGATTAAAAATGTACAGGTTAGAAGCTTGTTTTTAGATCTGCCATCTTTTGGTCTTACAGATAAAGAAGTTGATTTATAATGTGGCAACTTACTGGTACCAGTTATTATTTTAACCCATCACTGTAGAGCTGCAGCACATTTTTGATCACAAACTTTTATGAGTTTCATTTAATTAAATCTTCATTCAGACATTTATGTTTTTATGATAATATGTTAACACATTGTACATCTTGTTTGTTGTTTAAGCCAATATAAAAAAACAACATACATTTTTATTGTGAAACATTGAGATGCAATGAGTCAGCCATGGTAACAAAGACCAAAGAATCCTGCCTAAAAGTTTTTATTTTATGACTGAAAATAAAACGGTCCCATCCTTTGCTGAGCTACATCACTCTTCTTTGCTTTTCCATGACAGCCTTTCACCACTACTCTGGAGGTACCTGGCAGTGGGGACGTGTTTGATGATGGGGAAAACCTTCCCATCAGTCGCTCTCCTGAAAGTGGCTTCTCGGACTTTGTTCAGTACCAGGAAGGTGGCTCTGAGGAAATGGAGCGAGCCCCTCATCCCGCACTCAAACCCGGCGTTCGTCTCACAGGCCCCTGTCAGACGAAGACTCTGGATAAACCAGTAATGCAGAGCTGTCTGGAGCACTTCCAGCTGTTTCTGACCCGACACATCACCTTGTATATTGTGCCTGGGCACGTAGACAAAGCTGAGGGTCAGAGAGGCGAGGCGATGCCTTCTGGGCCCTCAGTTTCAGGTAACTCCCAGCTCAGTGATCCTCTGGAGTCATGCTCAGAGTCTTGGCCGGTCCAGAGAGAATGTGTTGCTGCCTTCACTGCTGCCTGTCAGCTCTTCTTAGAATGCTCCAGTTTCCCAGTCTACATTGCAGAGGGCAATCTCAAGTCCTCACCCACACAGGAAGAACCATTCAGTAAGTCTCAGAACATTCATACAAAAAGAACTAGGAGCTATCCTGTTACTTTAAGTACTATTAATTGCGGTTTACAGCATTTTACTATCCTCAGCAGTATTTGACTGTTTAGACGTAACCATTCATCCTTACAGATGATGAAGTTCGGCTGCCAGTGTGGCTGCAAACACTGATGGACGCCTGTTGCCTAGCCACTGACTTCAGCCTCCAGGGCATCGCCATCTCCCTTCTGATGGACCTCGTGGGACTCACTCAGTCCATTGCCATGGTGACCGCTGAGAGCGTGGCGTTTGGTGGCGGTGCAGAGTCCGCCCAAACAATGAGTCCCAGCCAAGGGCGAGTGGCCGTCGTCATCAGGCCTCCCCTCACCCAGGGAATCCTAAAGTTCATCGCAGATAAAACAGACTTCTTCAAGGTAGAGATTCTGGGGATTTTAGTGGAACTTCTGTTGGTTTTTAATGTTTGAATATTCATTCTTTCTGTTCAGAGTGTTGCTCTGATCTTGTGGGACCAGCTGAGTGAAGGGACACCGCAGCATCATCAGCGCAGCGTGGAGCTCTTCTACCAGCTCCACAACCTGGTGCCTTCATCCAGTATCTGTGAGGACGTCATCAGCCAACACCTAATGCACAGAGACAAGGTCAGCTCAGTGAACACACCTCCGCTTAGAACTAAATTAAACAGCAGTATGCCTATGTCCCCCCGTCAGTGAAGGGTTAGAATAATGAATGTTTGTTCGAGTGTTTTTCTGGATTAAAATTGAACAGATAATGCAAGTAAGCCTTAAATGTTTTTGATGCAAGATATTCAAGTGGGTAGGAGTTACACTGCATAAAAAGAGAGGTAGTTTTATCTACAGTAGTCCCTCGCTACTTTGCGGTTCGTTTATCGCAGACTCACGCTATCGCGGTTTTTCAAAATAAGATGGACATGACACACAATTGGCTGATAGATGGATGAGCCACACTATCGGCATGAAATTTTTATTTCAAATAAATTATTTTAAAGTATTTAGCATCTCCTGCACCTTTGTGCAACTCTTACTGCAGGATACACTTCCTGCTGCAGCTGATCAGCTGTTCTCCATGCAGAGCAGAGAAGTGGGCGTGGCCAAGAGCGCTTGCAGATGGCAAAAGTGCAGAGGAGGCAGGGAGCTGAAATCATGACATTCTGTGCTCTTTGAGCGTTTAGAGTTCAGAAACATTGTTTAAAATACTGCAAGAGTGTGAGAAGTGTTTAAAACACCATACATATATAAATATATATAAAATAAACTACTACTTACTAAACTACTACTTGTACTACTATTCCTACTTTACAGTTTTTCACTTATTGCGGGTTTTCAGGGTACGGATCCCTCGCGATAATCGAGGGACTACTGTATTTAATTAAATTTTTATTTTGCTTTTCTGAGGCAGCACAGAGGCTGGATCCTGATGGGTGAAGGGAGCAATTTTATCTATGACCAGGTTCAAAGGTGGAGCCAGGGGATGGTCAATGGTGGTCTTGACTACCATAGATTAATCTTTGACCACCCCCTGGCCCCTCCAGTCATTTAAGGAAACTATTTTTTAGACAATATAAAAAACAGAAAGCATAAATTCTTTAAATGATAGGAGCGCCCGACTTACATTTCTATATATGGTGGTGGCCATCTTGGATTTTGACATGACAACCTAATTTTCAATAGAGACCTTTCTTACACCTAAATGTACCACACACTAAAACGAAAGTTGGCACATTGTTTATTTTTGACCCAATCATTTGAGGAAACCGTAATTTTAAGAAATATAAAAATCTAATTAATTTGATATTTTGAAATTGCATTATAAGATGAAAACCTGGAATTCAGAAAAATAGAAATGGATATTGGGAGAATTTTTAACTGATTTCATTAGAACCCCAAATAATATTTTCAGGTTGTTTCACTAATAGAGAAAGATGTAAGTTAGTGGATAAACACAGGCTAATATTATGAATTCACTGAATTTGTGTACAAACAACAGCAGAGTGCATTTACTGTTTTAATACTGTAGTCATATGTGAGTGTTTTAGCTAAAGGTGAAGTTGAGAGTAAAAAAACAGAGTACCATTTTCATAAACGATGATAATTTGTTTTTAAATGTTTAGAGAGTCCGTTTGGAAGCCCATGTGAAGTTCTCTGTTCTGTGGCATCTGACTCGAGATTTGAACATCACCAAGTCGTCTCCTTTTAGCCGCACGTTCGACAGGTTAGTTTGCCTTTTCCGTTGATTTGCTCCATCTTTATCAACACTTTTCTGTATAATTACATTTTTTACTTCTCGCTGCAGGTCTCTTTTCATCATGTTGGACAGCCTGAGTTATTGGGATCCGTGTACCAGCGCTGTTGGTCGGGCTTGGCTAAATCAGGTTCTTCAGAGGCACGACATCGCCCGGGTCCTTGAGCCCCTTCTTTTACTTTTGCTCCACCCCAAAACTCACAGAGTCTCTATTCAGAGGGTACAAGCACAGCGCCACTGGGCTCAGGTGTTTCCTGACCCCCTTGAGCAGGAGCCATCAGAACCTGCCTACATCGGAGACTCGTGCTTGTCAGACAGTAAGCCGTACAGGAAGATTTCTTTTTTAGATTCATTAATATCCAATATTACTTCATAACGTGAATGTTTCTTTTATCAGATTTGTGTCAGATCCAAAGAGAGCAAATTGGACAAGATGATTTCCGTGGATTGACAGTTGGAGACATGGAGCCCTTCTGCTTGACGGTCAACCCACTGAGTGACAGCTTGTCTATCCTCAGTCTGAGCAGCGAGAATTTACAACTAGCTGGTGAATATCGGTCTTCTGACCAACAGGGGGAGCCACAGAGCTCAGAATCCACTGGTTCACAGTCGTCTACGTTGGAAAATGGGAGCTTTGAAGAGCCAGAGGGAGTCTGTTGCACAGTAAATGGCTCAGACCGACTTCCTGGTTCCTCTGATGACATATCTGATGACTCTGTAGAAGAAGCTGTGCACTGTGTTGTAAAAAACATCATAGACAGGGTCATAAGCTTAATAGATGAGGAATCTCGTGAAGAGTCCTCTCCACCTGAAAATTGGCCCCAAACGGATACTGAAAGCACTTCCTCAGACACGTCCACCGGTCCCCGTCTGGAATCCTGCCTTTCTCACATCTCCAACAACCAGAATATACCAGAGATGCTGGCTGGAGGCACACTGGAGCTTCTCTCCATCACGCCATCTGATATCTTGGCAGAGGAGCAGCACAGAGAGGGCATTGCTCGCCACAGTTCCTCACCCTCCATCGTCACGTTGCCAGACAGTTCTGATCCGGCCACCCGGGACAACAGCCTGCAGGTGGACGACCCTCAAGCCCGTAAGCGCAGCCATAGCAGCACTCAGCTGAGCCTCAAGGGGAAGATTATGGAGAAGCTGGCAGACAAATCTCCCGGGGCAAAACCAAAGATCAAGAAGTCGAAGAGGAAAGAGGAGGAAAGGCAGAGAAAAGCAATGCATCAATCTGAGAAACCTCACCCACCCAGCATTTTCTTTGGGGACAGTTTAGATCTGGAGAACTGGTACAGCTGTGGTGAAGGCGACGTATCGGAGATCGAGAGTGACATTGGCTCCCCAACGGGGGGCTCTGCAGGGGTCGCAGGGCGCAGGCCGTCCTCAGCTCCTCCTCGTTTTAACATCCATCCTCTCTACCAGCATGTCTTGCTCTACCTCCAGCTGTACGACTCCTCCAGGGCTCTCCACGCTCTGTCAGCCATCGCAGCCATGCTAAGAGCAGCTCCCTCTGGCTTTGTGAGCGCCATCTCTACCACCAGCATCAACAACACCTACACTCCGCAGCTCTCTCTGCTCCAGAACTTGTTAGCCCGCCACAGGGTTTCTGTCATGGGCAAAGACTTTTACTGCCCCATTCCCCAGGACTCTCACTCCCATTCATTCCGCAGCGCCATGTACCTGGAGATCATCATCTCACTCTGCCTCTACTTCCTGAGGAGCTATTACTCCACTCATGTGACTGTAGGTCCTCAGGACTTGGCAGGAAACCGGGCCATGCAGCTGACCAGTGTGGAGGTCTTGGCTCTCCTTTTCAGCGAGCTGGCTAAAGTCACAGCTGGTTCAGCTAAGGGCTTCGCCAGTTTCATCAGTGACGTCCTCTCAAAGTGCAAAGTTCAAAAGGTTGTGCTTCATTGCCTGCTTTCATCCATATTCAGCGCTCAGAAGTGGCACGAGCAGCGGACGGCGGGGGTTAACATGTCCACAGTGGAGGAAGGTCTTTCAGAGGACAGCATCATCAACCTGTCGGAGGACCAGATAGACAGCTGCAGCACCGTCCAGTCCCAGTTACTCCGACTGCTGCAGAGCTTGGTTGTTCTGGAGCACAGGGTCCTGATGCCAGCTGATGAAGGTGGCGACAGTGGGCCTGCAGGAGGAGGAGTGAGCGGAGGGTCAGGAGGCAGTGCTGGGGTTGGGTTTGAGATCCTGGGTGGGGAAGTAGAGCATGTCAACCCTCAGCAGCCAATGACCTCACTGCAGTACCTCCACGGACAGCCCGTCACAGCGCAGGGCATGTTCCTATGTGCAGTAATCAGGGCGCTGCACCAGCAGTACACTTGTAAGATGCACCCCCAGTGGATCGGACTCATCACGGCCACCCTGCCTTACATGGGGAGGGTGCTGAGGAGGGTGGTGGCCTCAGTGACTCTGCAGCTGTGCAGAAACCTGGATAATCTCCTTCAGCAGTACCGATATGAGACTGGGATAACAGACACCAGGTACTGTTCCTGTAAATATAAGAACCATTACATGGTAGTGGGGGGTGGTCACTAGATGGTGCTGCTTTGATTTGATGTTAATTTGTAAATTGTTCCGTCTTCTGTTACACATACTGTACATTTAAATATATACTGTTCAAGCTTTATATTCTTTGACTTTTTTCTAGACCCCATTGGATGGCTCTCTGTATCCCCCCAGATCTGATTCTAACTGTGCTGGAGGGAGTCACATCCATCATCCATTACTGTCTGCTGGACTCCACTTCCCAGTACCACCAGGTGAGGGCATCATGTGCTTCAAGATAGAAGCTGACTCCTCGTTTTTTCCAGTCTTGTTCTAAATTGTCTTTTTTTAGACACGTAATCTGATAGCAGTAATGCTGTTGGGAGATTTAGGATTGTTTAAAAATTATACTTGGCTCTACAGTGTGTCTTATTGTCTGTGTTGCTGCTCAGTTACAAGTGAGTGTGGACCAGAAGCACCTGGCCGAGGCCCGTTCAGGCATCCTGTCCATCCTCCACACCATTATGTCTTCTGTCACTCTGCTGTGGAGCGTCCTTCATCAAGCCGACAACTCCGACAAACCAGCTGCTGCCTCAGCCACCTCCACCTCCAACATTAACCTGGGCTCCACTAAGGTATGGCAGCATGTGTGTGCATACCTTTTCAATGGAGGACTTTTCTTCTTCTAACACAGATCTGTCAAGGGATAATATGTTTTATTATGAGTAGCATTTGACCCAACCAAGCTAAGTATTTACCTACAGTATTTAGAATTTTTACAGAGCCTGTTTAACATTGTTTCAAAATAAGTTTAATTTGTTTTATGTAATAAAGAAAGGCAAGTTATTTAAAATAAATACATATATATATATATATATATATATATATATAAAATTCCAGTTTTTTACGGATAAGGGCATATTTAAAATGATCTGGTCTTTTTTTTTTTTTTTTCCTCCCTTGTCCTGTCTGGCATTGTGACACTTAGAATTATTGTCTGAGTGTCAAAGTGATGCCCAACAGATTTACTTTTTTTTCCTTTTCAAAATGATCTGGTCTTTACCAAGTTCTATTTTTTCAGATTTGACCCCCGGCGTACAAAAACACAAGACACAGAAACACAACACAATTTATTAACCTCAAAGGAAACCAAAACGTAAAATCTTTGTGTTACAGACCACATGTGATTTAAGACCTACACGTTCAGTTAGGAGCTACTAATTAACTGAACATCATCAGTAGGACCACCTCTGTATGCTGCTCTGGAGCATACAGCTGTTTATTAACACGTCATGGTGGAACGGCATTAGCAATGACCTTCAAAAAAGCAACGGTTGCTGCCTCAATCTAGGAAGGGTCAAAGGTCCTCCATCCATCAATTATCTTCCGCTTATTCCGAAGTCGGGTCGCGAGGGCAGCAGCTTGAGCAGGGAGGCCCAGACATCTCTTTCCACAGCCACCTCTCCCAGCTCTTCTGGGAGGATTCCATAGCGTTCCCAGGCCAACCAAGAGACAGTCTCTCCAGCGTGTCCTGGGTCTTCCCCGGGGTCTCCTCCCTGTTGGACATGCCCGTAGCACCTCTCTAGGGAGGCGTCCAGGGGGCATCCTTACCAGATGCCCAAACCACCTCAACTGGCTCCTCTTGACGTAGAGGAGTAGTGGTTTTACTCCGAGTCTCTCCCAGATAATTGAACTCCTCACCCTATCTCTAAGGGAGAGTCCAGCTACCCTGTGGAGAAAACTCATTTCAACCTCCTGTATCTACAATCTCATTCTTTTGGTCACTACCCAGAGCTCATGACCATAGGTGAGGGTAGGAACGTAGACTGTCCGGTAAACAGAGAGCTTTGCCTTACAGCTCATCTCTCTCTTCACCACAACGGACCGGTACAGAGTCCGCAATACTGAAGATGCTGCACCAATCCGTCTGTCAATCTCATGCTCCATTCTTCCCTCACTCGTGAACAAAACCCCGATACTTGAACTCCTCCACTTGAGGCAGAACCTCACCCTCGAACTGAAGAGAGCAATCCATTCTTTTCCAGTTGAGGACCATGGCCTCAGATTTGGAGGTGCTGATTCTCATCCCAGCCACTTCACACTCAGCTGCGAACCACTCCAGTGAGAGCTGAAGATCACGGCACAATGACGCCAACAGGACCACATCATCTGCAAAGAGCAGCGATGGAATCCTGAGGCCACCGAACCGGAAACTCTTTCATCTGAATGAACCACCAAACATTAAGACTACGTTTTGGACAAATGAGACCAAAAGAGAGTTATTTACCCATAATGCACAGCACAATATTGGGAGAAAATCAAACTCCGCACAAACACTTCAGACCAAGTGTCAAACTGGTGTTGGAGGGTTGATGGTTTGGGGCAGTCATTGGGTCAACCATGAACTCCTCTGTAGAGTAAAGGATTTGCCCAGCAGCTAAAACTGGACCAAACTGAACAATAATCCTAAACATAGCAGCTAATCTACAGCAGAATGGCCCAAAAAGAAGAATCATGGTTTTAGAAATTTTAACTTTTGGTGGGTGTACTTCCTACATGTAGGTGTGTTTCTCCTAAAACAACACACTACAAGATGCACAGCAGAGATTATTAAAATAATGATTTATTAGATTGAATTGTTGATTTGTCATTTTATTTCCTTAAATCTCTTTGACAGAATCTCCGTCAGCAGATCCTTGAGCTGCTCGGCCCAATCTCCATGAACCATGGTGCTCATTTCATGGCAGCAATCGCTTATGTTTGGAATGAGAGAAAACAGGTCAAGACCCCAGTAAGAAATAAGGTAAACAAGTTAAAATAGAGTCCGGCATTCCTTTAGGATCTCTTCTATTGTTTTTGTCTGAGTTTCAAGTTCAAGTTTCTTTATTGTCATTCGTATCACATGTGATACATGAGGTGGATCAAAATTGTGTACTCAAAGTCCCAGTTACACCAAACAATAGCAAAAATATAAAGTATAAAAAGAAACATTATATAAGGATCTAAAATATACACTGACAAACGTTAAACAATACGCTAAAAGAGCTAAGATATATGCTAAACTCTAATGATGTAAATAATACGGTATATTAAACAGTAGCCCGAACATGAGTCTGTAGTGCATAGATGGGTGTGAATGAATACAACAACATGAGATAATCAGCAGCATGAGATCAGTAGCATGGAAAATAAGCTGCACAGATAAGCCACATATCATCAATTAAAGTGGCCAGTAGTTTGAAGTACAGCAGTTTGAAGACATTCAGTAATATATTGTTTTTTTTGTTTTTTTTTTTTTATTTCTGTTCATCATAGTAAGCAGATGTTTAGTATCATTCCTAAAATGTCAAATTTATTAGAAGTGAAACAAAAAAGTGTATACGGCTGTTTTTGATGCTGTGGACCAATGACTTTCTGCATTCTCATTTGGAGCAGGGTGTGGGAATTAGGGGCATTGCTCTGGATTGCTTAGGTCATATTTGACTAAACAAACATTCTGTGTCAGCCTTGGTGGTTTAAAATTCACCTCAGCTCCTTTTTTTCTTTGGTGTCCCACAAGGCTCAGTTTTAGGCCCTATCCTCTTTTCACTTCACATATGGTTCCATACTAAAATAAAACCATGGTGATTAATTTTAATGTTATGCTGATGACAGTCAGATTTATGTGTCTCTTAAATAGACACATTTTTTATCAGTCCGTTATTTTGTTATCTTGAGAACATCAAGGCCTGGATGGCACTTAACATTCTAAATTTAAATACTAAACAAAAACTATGGTTGTTGGAGCACAAACTGGGCCCTCTTGTCTGGATTTAGGTTCCTTGGCCCAGTACAGCAATCAGACTGTGAGAAATTTTGGGGTCAAACTGCATCCTGAGCTCAAATGTAGTTTACTTAAGAGGAGCTTTAAATTGAGGCAGGTGGCCATTTTGGTTCTCTGTGTTTGTTTAAAGTGCTTTACAAACAAAGTTGGATTGAAAAAGCAGCTCAGCTGCAATTATGCTTTCAACAAAGTCCCCATTTTAACTAATCTTTTTCATGCAGTATTTATGATGGTTACTTTGTAGGTGATTCCTGTAGCGAGTGAGGAGCAGCTGCTGCTGGTTGAGCTCGTTCGCTCAGTGAGCGCCATGCGCACGGAAACCGTTATCCAGATGGTCAAAGAGGTACTGAAGCAGCCGCCTGCCATAGCAAAGGACAAGGTGAGTTTTTACTGCTTTGCTGAAAATTCTTGCCTTTAGTGGTTTTATGTTCCTCTTTTATCATCTCCAAAGCTGAAGCGTTAACATTCAAATTAAAAACCTGACAAATGTAAGTGTTCATGTATAACTCTTTACTGAGACTTAAAAAGTTAAATCTGGTCCTCTGGACATTCAAAAAAACAAAACAAAGCAAAACAACAAAAAAATGTAGAAACGTTTCGTCTTCCATCCGAAAGACGTCCTCAGTCTGAGGTGCTGTATTCAGCTCAGTCTCTTAAATAGCACCGTCTCAGAGTGGATCAACCAGTTTTGCTGCTGACAACCAAAACCAGCTGATCACATGCTCAAGAAGGACCATCAGCCTAACAATGGATCATTAGCACACTGATGGCTGTTTGACTGTCCAAAGGACCAGATTTAACTTTTTTTAGATTTTTATACCTGGATTATTGAACATGCATCAGGATATATTTACTGAGACGTTAAGCTGAAGCCATTCTGATCTGCAGAAGCACATCTCTTTGGAGGTCTGCATGTTGCAGTTCTTCTACGCCTACGTACAGAGGTGAGCACAGTCCTACACGGCTGTTGTTTTAAGTTACAGCTTTTGCTTTATTTTGAACCTTTTAACCTTTTTGGCCAGTTTATAATTTGTCCGTCATGTTTTTAGGATTCCTGTTTCCAGTTTGGTTGACAGTTGGCCATCTCTGCTCGCGCTGCTGAAGGACTCCGTCCAGCTGGGCCTGCCTGCTCCCGGACAGTTTCTCATCCTGGGGTCAGTCTCTCCTTGATTTCCTCTCTTTGGAAGATTTTAGTGCTGTTTTTAACAAATGCAAGTTTAAAACAGGTCGGCTAAGACACACAATACATTTGTGACAAATAAACATTTGCGAATAAAAGAAAATATTATTGATGCCAAATAAAAAAAGGAATTTTAGATTTTTTTTCCATCTAAGTTTTATTTTCTGACAGAGCCTCTACATTTTTTCTTCAGACCAACAACCAATTTTTAACACTTCACATTTTTTTATTCAACACGGCAATTAAAAACATGCCTAAATTAAATATTTCCTGTTTTTATATGCACATTCTTTGGACTCACAAGCAACAACTTCTACTTCACTCCGTGAGCTTGTCTGTAACCACGTTGAACTCTGTGTCTGTGTGGATCACGTCTTTAGCTCATGTTTATCTAACACAACTCTTTGTGTTTTTCTGTGTTAAGAGTTTTAAATGAGTTCATTCTGAAGAATCCCAATCTGGAAAGTAAGAAGGACCAGCGAGAACTGCAGGTAGTTTGAGTTCAGTTACTATTGTTATTTTTCTTATTTAATACAGGGTTCCCACAGTGACTCTGGAAATTAGGGAAAACCTGGAAAATAACTTTCACATTTTCCAGACAGGGAAAACTCAGGGAATTTGAGAAAAAAAATCAAAAATTGGGGAAAACTTTGGAAATTAAAAAAATAATAATAGTAATCAGGGACAACTCAGGGAATTTGAAAAAAAAAGAAAACTTTTAAAATCAAGTAAAACTCAGGGAATAAAAAATAAACCCACATAAAACTCAGGGAATTTGGAAAAAAATATCAGGGAAAACTCAGATAATTTGAAGGAAAAAACAAAAATCAGGGAAATCTCAGGGAATTTGAACACTGATCTGCAGATAAAAAGTTGAACATGTCAAAATCTCAGAAAGATCATGTATTAATGCTAGCATTCTTGTATCATGAAGTCCCTTTTTTGCTTGGTTACTCTGTACATATTACATTTGTTTTTACTGATTGGCTATAGTGGCTTTTTAGTATCTGATGTTGTACAATATAATTAATAAAGTGAGGCCATCAGTTATAAAAAAATGACATCAGTTTGTAACCCCTTTCATAACTCGTAAGCATTAAATCACTCACTGCTACAGTAAATCTTGCGTTCACCACCTAAGATACAATGTTCCGAGCGTTCTGTGTGACTGAAATATCTCCGGACATTTCAGGATTTACTCGGGAATAATAAACTCAGGG